CTATATGCCTTAAATTGGAGAATTCAAAAGAAAGGGATGGATTCCTAGATACATATGAATTGGAAAAACTCAACCAAGAAGATATAAAAACCTGAATAACCCAATAACAGAAAGTGAAATTGAAGCAGTAATAAAAACCTGCCAACTAACAAAAATACAGGTCTTGATGGGCTCACTGCTGAATTGTATAACAACATCAAGGAATATCTAATTCCAATATTCCTCAAACTTCATTTTTTTGAGACAGGGTCCCACTATGTAGTTCAGGCTGGGCTTGAATTCACTATATGGCCCAGGCTGCCTCAAACTCATACTGATCCTCCTGCCTCAGCCTCCTGAGTGCTGGGATTACAAGCATGCACCACCACGCCTGGCTCTCCTCAAACTTTTTAGTGAAATCAAAAGGGAAGGTGTATTCCCAAAGTCATTTTTGAAAGCTAGCATTACCCCAGTTCCCAAGTGGACAAGGATCCAACCAAAAAGGAGAACTCCTGATCAATCTCTTTAATGAACATAGATGCAAAAATCCTCAACAAGATACTGGCAAAAGGAATGCAACAAATTATTAAAGAGATCATACATCATAACCAAGTAGCTTTCATCCCAGAAGTGCAAGAATGGCTCAACATGTGCAACTCAGTAAATGTAAAACATCACATAAACAGAAGCAAGGACAAAAATCACACGATCATCTCAATAGATACAGAAAAAACCTTTGACAAATCCATTTATGACAAAAACCCTGAAAAGAGCAGGTATAGAAAGACCTTATCTCAAATTGATAAAAGCCATTTATGACAGACCTTCTAATAACAGAAACAAAATCCCTCTGAAATCAGAAATAACACACAGATTTTCACTGTCACCATTCCTGTTCAATATTGTACTCAAAACATTAACCAGAGCAATCAGGGGAGAGAAATAAATAAAAAGGATATGTGTAGAAAAAGGAAAAAGGTCAAATTATCATTATTTGCAAATGATATCACCCTCTACATAAATGACCCCAAATTTAGTAATGTCGCAAATATAAAGTCAACACACCAAAAACAAGTGTTCCTATACACTAATAATGAACTCACTGAGAGAGAAAGTAGGAAAACAGTATCTTTCATAATAGCATCAAGAAAAAAGAAATACTTAGGAATTAACCTAACCAAGGAAGTGAAACACCTCTATAAGGAAAGCTATAGTATTCTGAAAAAGAAGAGCAAAGAGGAAATAAGAAGATGAAAAGATATCCCATTTTCCTGCACAGGTAGAACCAACATGGTCAAAATAACCATAATTCTAAAACAGATATACAGTCTTAATTCAATCCCAATCAAAATACCAACAGCATTCCTCACAGAACCAGGGAAAACTATCCTAAAATTCATATGGAACCAGAAGAGACCCAGAGTAGCAAAGGCAATTCTAGATAACAAGAGCAAAACAGGAGGCATTACAATCCCAGATTTGATGTTATATTCCAAAGCTACAGTAATGAAAACAGCATGGTCCTGGGACAAAAACAGCCACAAGAATCAATGGAACAGAATAGAAGATGCAGAAACAACCCCAGGGACATTCAGCTATTTGATCTTTGACAAAGGGGCCAAAAACACACTGCAGAAAAAAAATAGACTCTTTAATTAATGGTCCTGGGAAATTTGGCTGTCTACATGCAGAACACTGAATCTAGATCCATGTATCCACCATGTGCTAAACTAAAAATGGATGAAAGTTCTAAATGTTAGAACAGAAACATTCTACTGGAAGATAAAACTCTTGAAAACACTGGTGTAGGGAAGGATTTTCTGAACAGAACCAAATTACTCAAGAAATAGTACCAAGAATCAACAAATGGGATCATAATACGAACAAAATATCACACAGCAGAGCATAGCACAGCAATGGAAATAACCAACAGAGGGAAGAGACAACCTACAGAGTGAGAAAGTATTTTTCCAGTTATTCCTCAGACAGAAGCCTAATGTCTAAAATATGTAAATAACTCAAAAAATTAGATCCCCCCAAAAAAAGATCCAGTAAAAAAATGGGCATCTGAAATGAATAGACAGTTTTCATAACAAGTACAAATGGCCAATAAGTGAAAAATATTCAACGTTACTGGTTATCAAAGAGATGCAAATTACTACAACATTGGGAATCCATCTCACTCCAGAAAGAATGGCCATTATCAAGAAATGAAATAATAACCAATGTTCGTGAGGTTTCAGGGAGAAACAAACCCTCCTACATTGTCCGTGGGAATGTAAACTGATGCAACCACTACGGAACTTAGTACGGAGATTCTTCAAAAACTTTAGGCGAAAGATTCATACGATCTGAAGAGAAACCAGAGTAATGATTCTTCAAAAACTTAAAACGACAAATTCCATTTGACTCACTTGTTCCCCTTCTAGGCATCTTCTTGAAAGAGTTAAACCATCATATAACAGTTGTAAATGCATATCCATGTTTATATCAGCACAATTCATCTTGGATGCAGCCTATATGTCCATAAACATATAGATAAATGGATAAAAATATGGATAAAAAATAATAATAAATGGATAAAATGGATAAAAATAATAATAAATGGATAAAAAATATGTCATATTTACAGACAATGGAGAACTACCTTGTCATAAAAAACAAATTTGGGTGGTTTGTAGGAAAATGGGTGCACCTCGGGACAATAATGTTAAATGAAATAAACTGGACCTGTAAACTTAAATACTACATGGTTTCTCATATATGAGAAATCCAAAATATAAATAAAGGGCAAAGTAAATGATAGTAGAAGTAGGGAGACAGACTTTGTTCAAATGGGAAGGGCATCAAGAGATGGAGGCAAGTCGAGAGATGGGAAGGAAAGGGGATGAAAAAGATAATTGAGATCTTTTATGTATATGTACCAACACCCGACAAGGAATGTAATTAGTATGCAATGCAAATATGTCCTAATAAAAATCAAAACTAAAAAAATAATTTGACATTGATTTGTAACTATTTTTATAGCAAAGCAATCATGGCTATAGTAACTATAAATTGTATGATAGTTTTTTAAAGAGAAACTGTTTATTGGTTTTCAAATCATTTTTTAAAGGAAGAAAGTTAATTGACTTTGCAAGCACATGTTTTTCCACTATTGTATGGGCTTTTAAAAACATAATTAAGGGGCTGGAGATATAGCTCAGCAGCACACCGCCTGTCTGGAAAGCACGAGGTCATGAGTTTGATTCCTGGTACCACAAAAACAAACAAACAAACAATTTAGCTAGGTGTGGTTGTGCATTGCAATGTACATTTTTTATTTGTTTGTTTGGGGGTTTTTTTGGTATCTGGAATCGAACTCAGGACCTTATGCTTGCCAGGCAGGTGCTCTTGCCGCTGAACTATATCCCTGACCCTTGTTTGTTTGTTTGTTTGTTTGTTTGTTTTGAGACAAGATCTCACTATGTAGTTCAGGTTGGACTTGAACTCACTATGTAGTGCCTAGTGGCCTTGAACTCCCAGTAATCTTTCTGCCTCAACCTCCCAAGTGCAGGGATTACAGGTGTGCTCCACCATTCCCAGCTTGCAATGCTTTTATTATAGTGAAAAGCTGGAAGCAATTTAAGCATCCAAAATTAGGCCAAGTTAAAAAAAATAGTGGCATATTAGTACTACAAGAGAACATCAATGACATAGAAAGTTTATAGTATTTTTGGAGAAAAGAACATATACAAAATATGTCTACTATTCTATCTTGTTTAAAAATACATATGTGATAGCCAGGCTTGGTGGTACACACCTATCCCAGTACTTTGGGAGGCTGAAGCCAGAAGATTACAAAGTTTGAGCTCAGCTGGGGCAATTTAGCAGTTTAGTGAGACCCTGTCTCAAACTAAAGTAAATAAATAAATAAACGGCTGTGGGTGTTGCTTAGTGCAAAAGCCCCTGAGTTCAATTCCCAGGACTGCAAAAAATAAAAACAAAAATAAAAAATATGCTAGTTATGGTGATGTATGCCTTTAGTCAGAGCACTCTGGGAGGATGAGGCAGGAGGATCAAAGGTTCCAGCCCAGCCTGGGCAATTTTAGACTTAAGGAGACCCTCCGTCAAAACAAATGAACAAACAAACCAAAGAACAAAAAACCACATAATTTAACATTTTGGTAAGAAGTATCCTTTACAGTTCTATGAAAGAGCTTATTTTTCACTTTAGCATTTATTAATTTTAAAATATTTTAATTTCATCTGTAACACCTTACCATTTTAATTTTTAGTACATATGCTTTTATTTTGAAAAGAAGACACTCATTTGAATGAGGCTAAAGCTTCTAGATACATTACAAAATATTTATAAAACTCATTATTGAAATCACTTCAAAAATGGTGGCTATCTAACAACTGTTAATTTTTAAAGCACATATCACACATTTTGTAAATCTGTGAATTCAACTATGATCTTTAATTGAAATATCAGAATTGTTTTTTAAAAATCTTAATTTTAGAACAGCAAAGGAAATTACTACAGAATCCAATGTGGTTAGATACTAATGAGAAAGTTTTACTGAAAGTACCTATATTGCTAACACGTTTCCTCATGAAATCTAAAGTTTAATAGTTTTGTTGTGGAACAGCGTCACATTTTCTCGATGAAGTTCAATAAATCATCTGTGCTACCAAAAAAGTGTGTTCTGCTGTTAGTTACCATGTTCTATAAATGTTACGACTCTTGTTTAAAATGTAGATTTTCTAGGTTATGCTCCTGAGTCCTCTGCCTTATAACTGGAAACTGTATGTGTAATAAATTCCCCGCACCCTTCTTGCCTAGTACCCACGGATCTGGAAGTCACTGCCTCACACGTCCTTCATGTAGAGCGTCCTTTAATTAGAAGTGAGTAACCCTGGTGTCATCGATCGCTCTGATAGACTTTCTATTGTTCTAGTCTTGCTGCCGGGTCCGCCGGCCGCGGTCTCCGGCTCGGCTTTCGGCTTATTCCGCCTGGGGCAAGCTGCGGAGGGATTGGTTCGCGTGAATTGCACGTGGGTTTCGCCTTGATAATGGCGGGCGCTGGGGAAGATGCGCGAGCGCTTTTCCAAGCTGGGGTTCGCGTGGCGCTGGAGGCCTGGCCCGCTTTGCAGGTGAGTGAAGTCTTGGTGGTATCAAGGTTAGGGCCCGGGACAAAATAAAACTTGGGTGGCATAAGCGGCAGACTCGCAGGCCGCCCTAGGCCGGTTACCAAACTGATGCGGGCGCGGGCCTGTGTTTGCAGATCGCCGTGGAGAATGGTTTCGGGGGCGTGCACAGCCAGGAGAAGGCCGAGTGGCTGGGGAGTGCAGTGGAGGAGTACTTCATCCGCAATGGTGAGTGTGTGTGGGGGCGTGGAGGGGGAGAGGAGCCTGGGGAGGTAGCGCTTCCGCCTGCGCAGTTTCGGTTGGTACCTGAAGGCCAGGTGAATTGAATGCAGACTTTGGGAGTCCGAATTCTGGCTTTAAACGTCGTGTGGCTGGGCCACTGAATCATGCTGTCGCCCTGAACAAGGAATTTTATTTTCCTGAGAGTCATTTTTCGTAGTTTCTAAAACGAACATAAAAGTATCCGCCCCAGTGTTGTCCAGTAGAATGAGTTGTGTCATGTGATTTAAAAACTGTTGGGCCAGGCTGTAGCACAGGGGTAGGTAGAGTGTTCACGTTAAAATCTTCAAGGCCCTGGGTTCCATCTCCAGCACCGCAAAATAAATAGGAAGCATTTACTTTTAATAAAGTTCAAGCCCCTGAAACTAATGTTATTGAACTCATACCCAAAATATTTCAATATGCCATACATGTAAAATATTATTGAAATATTTTACTTTTTTAGTGTTTTCAAAATCTATTATTTTACAGTTTAGCGCATCAGAATTTGGCCTAGTCACATTTCAGTTGCCCTGCAGCCACAGGTGGCTGTTTGGGTAGTAGAGGTCTACACCTTAGGCTTGTCTTGAGGGCTATACAGAACAAGGAGTCAAGTACTGTAAAAGGCCTCTTGCCTACTGTGGTTTTCACAACCTTCTTCATTTTCTGGCCTTGGAGATGACTGTTTCTTAAGAGTTTATTGCCCAGTGAGGGATTCAGACCAAAAAAATGGATAGTTACAACACTATGCGGTAAATGTTCTGACAGAGAGGAGCTCAGACTTCTTGGGGTAACATGGGCCTGAGGACCAGAGAAGGCTTTTGAGGGGAAGGGGGTGCTAGTGCTGGGTCTGAAGGAGAAGGAGTTAACTGGATTGAGCAGGCAGAGAACACTTAATGACTCGGTGGTTTGAGAAAATGTGTTGTATTTGGAAAGTGGCAGAGGACTCTGTATTGTAAGGTGTGGAGGTGGGGGAGGAAGAGCGGTAGAGAATGAAGCTGGCGGGGTAGGGAGACCCTCCCCACAAAGGGTAAGACGAGGAAGGCCTTATGTGCCTTTGATCTTATTCTTTAGGCCAGTTTTGCCAAAATGCATATTATGGAAGACTCATCAAGTTAGATGTTAAGGGAAGAAAAAGCTTCTTCACATGATGTAAGCTCTTTTCTTCAGCTCCAACTTAAGCACTCATGAACGTATTCAAAGCATGAAGGATAAGAACCAATAAAGAGAAACCTATTTGCCTTTGTTTCTGTCTATGGATAGCTTCCTTTCAAACCCAGCAGAACTGATGTTTCCTAAAAGCAAACTATGAAACACTACAGTAGGTGATAAAAATTCATGGGCAGGTTCTAAGGTGAGTGATAGGATGAGCTTTGCTGACTAAAAGGTTCAGAAAGTAATCAGTGTAGAGCATGTCGTGAAGACGGAAAGAATGATGTGAAGGCTGTGTTGGTGCTGAAAAATCAAGAAAACTGAAGTAGGCCACTGGGTCATGGAAAAGAAGGGATGGATTAAGGCATTGGAGAATGCTTGGGTGTAGAGGGGGGAGGACAAAAGAGGCCAGTTTCTGGTGTGAGTGGCTGGGTGGAGTAGGTGCCTTTCGTGGATCAGAACCCTGGAGGATGAGATACAGGTTAGCAGGGTAGGGTGATGAGTCTGCCTTTGGGTATGGGGGAGGGGAGGCTGAGGCCCCTGGGAAACATCTGGGCACACAACAGTCTCAGGTGGAGACAGAGTAGGTTTGAGTGGTAGGGAATAGCAAGGGGATGGATGAGCTTTCTCAGGGAGAGAATGTAGCGGGAAGAGAAGGTAGAAGACTTTCTTGAGTTATTCTGTAATTCAGAAAAGGTCGAAAGCATGGGACTACAAGATGTGTGAAGCCCAGCCAGGATGTCTCGACCAGAGCCACACACAGTACAGTGTTTGTTCAAGGTTGTGGTGATTTCACTGTTGGAAGTAACATATCTATTTCTTATCTATCCCTTTGGTCTGTGGTCTCCTGTATTAATGGAACCACACTTGTGAAGGGTCTTTTCAGCCCTGGAGTGATGGAAATTAACATGCATTAGGGATCTTCCTGTGCCAGGCACTGTGTTGGGTGACAGCTTATAACAGACCTTCAAGGAAGCCCCTATTAGCTCCACTTTACAAATAAGAAAACAGGGCCAGAGATATGTAAGTAGCTTGTTCAAGATCACATAGAGGGACAGCCAGTTAGAATGGTCTAGATAAAAGACAGTACTTTAGTGAATAAAAGGTTCATTGTTTGGGATTTTTACCACGAACCAGGTGGGGACCCATGCAGGTACTGAAAGAGTAGTGGGCAGGGGTGATGAAACTGGCTGGTCTTTGACCAAAGGGTCCTGTCCTCTCCTACTCAGCTGACTTGGAGCTAGATGAGGTAGAAGACTTCCTTGGGGAGCTGATGACCAATGAGTTTGATACCGTTGTGGAAGATGGGAGTCTGCCCCAGGTAAGCTTACCACGGCCACTCTGTCTCTTGGCTATAACTGTTCTTCTCTGGGGTCCTACACAAGACCCTTCTAAGACTCCCTATTGCTAGAAGAAATCTAAACCTTACCTTCCTTTCATTTCTGTCCATACATCATTCCCATCCAGGCTTGTTCCCCACCTCTTTCCCACTGGCAGTGTGAGCCAGGTATAGTTCCACCTCTGCTCTGGTTGACATTGTTCTCCCTGATGAAATCACTTTACTTTTTGCATCGTCTGTCTTTCAAAGCCCAATTCTAGTGCCTTTCCTACTAGGAGGCTCTCCTTCAATGCTTTAGGCCCTCAATTGAATCCTTCACATGTAGTTGTTTGATTGGTGAACTTCTTAGGAAAGAACTCTATACCCATCTGGAAAATTCTAACTTCCTACTTGTGCTATAAATACAAGCCAGTTGTACAGTAGATTCTATGGAAAATTCAAGTTTGTTGAATGTTTTCTTGGTAGGTGAGCCAGCAGCTACAGACCATGTTCCACCACTTCCAGAGGGGTGATGGGGCTGCTCTGAAGGAGATGGCCTCCCACATCACCCAGAGAAAGTGCAAAGTCACAGCCACTGCACTTAAGACAGCCAGAGAGACCGATGAGGAAGAAGATGGTGCAGACAGTGTGGAAGAGATGGAGGTGAAGGGGATGGCCCTTGGGTGAGGGGATATAGATGTTTTCAATTTTCTAGATTCACAGGGAAGTGATGAGGGGTTGTTCTTGGTGGTGTTATCCAAAGAATAGGTCATATAGCCAATTTGGGAAAAGGTGGGAGCAGAGGCTGGGTCTCCAGTGGCCAATGTATTTAGCACTCTCCTGTATTTCCCCTCCAGGTCACAGCTACGAATGATGTGGCTGCTGTGCAGCCTGAAACTTCGGATCCAAACTCTCAGACTATTAAGGAAGAGGATATAGTAGAAGATGGCTGGACCATAGTCCGGAGAAAGAAATGAGTGGGGCTGGAAATGGTTTGGGCCCTTGTGGACTGGCGTTCTAAGACTTATTTTTAGGGGCTTTTTTGGAGGGCTGTAGACGCCTGGACTGGTTACCCTACCCCGATCTCCTCTCTTGTTCTCCTGTTTAGCTCCCTCCGGGTGAGGAAAAGCCCTACAGTCTTGGTTGGAGGGGTGATAGGACCTGTCCACCACACCCTCTAGGCTGTTAGTTACCATAGGTTTCCCAGTTCAGTGCCTGTTGGGTGTAGTCAGTGTGAAGAGGAGGGGACGAGTGAGTATGGTGTGGCTGGAGGAGGAGCTAGACTGCTAGACAGTGGGTAGGTGGATTTGTGGAGAGGACCAGCCTGAGGACCAATACTTGGGCACTAGGGGGCTGGCTGGTTCAGGAATGGTGAGACAGCATGAAGACAGAAGAGAACATGTGAAGATGTGAGCAAAAGTAGCTGTTCCTACCCCACCACACACACGCAGCAATTCCTATCTCTGCCCAGAACTTGGGACCTCCGAGGAACGTTAAGACTAGGCTAGGTGGTGAGGTCGGAAGAGTTCAGCTCTTTGCGGTTTCCTCCAACCTCTTTCCTCATTCTTTCTCCCATCCCATTTAAGTCTAGGGATGAGGCTTACCATCTTAATAAATAATACCGTCTTGTTTAATTGTAGTTTGGCCTGTAGCATGGAATCAGTCTTTTGGGAGCTGAGTTGCAGAGTTCAGTGAGGGAGTGATTTCTGGGCTTTCCCTAGTCGCCTGGTAATTTGGACAAACACAGATGGACAAATGGAGCACAGTAGTGCTCTGAAAGTTACTATAAGCCTGAAATAAATTGTATTTTTTAAAAAAAACAAAACAAAACAACAAAGAGTATCCATTGTCCCCCATTCCCCTGTCCTGCCCAGTGGCCCTGCCATGGGTCTGGACGATAAAATACTCGGTAGCCTTGGGACTGAGTGGAAGCTATAAACCATGGGAGAGGTAAGAGGGCTCTAGTTACCACTCCATGTGGAGTTATACATGTGAAGACACTGGCTGAGGAGGCAGGGATGAGTCAGGGCCCCAGGATCAGTGGCTTAGCTGGCACTTGAATCCAGGTCTTCTGCCTCTGTTGCTTTTGGGGAGAATTGGGTAGAGGCAGGATCTGTGGAGCGTTGGGGGATGGGGTAAAAAAAAAAAAAAAAAAGCCTAATTTTTCAGGTGGGTCTAGCAATAGCTCCCACCTTCCCTGGGGACAGGGTTTTTTTTAAAAAATGAACATCACTGTATGAATATTTTTAAAAAGCCCACGTTTTGTGAAAAGATGAATTAAAAAACCCAAGACCCAGCATTCAGGATTGAAAGTGCCCGTGATGGGAGTTCAAGTATTGATTGAGCTGGGAGGGAGGGGTCTGGAACCTCCTATTGGACATGGGCAGCTAGAATGTGGAGTTGGGGCTCCCAGGGCCCCCCAACCAACCCTCTAGGTCTTATCCCGGGTCTGGGGGGTCTCAGGCGGCTCAGCAGTGGCACCTGAAGCTGCCACTGTGGCCTCTTCCATCTCCCTGTCCTCAGACAGTGTGGGCCCTGGGCAGAACGTGTCCCCACGGCCTGCCCGGCCAAGCACAGCCATCCAGCGCCGCTGGAGCTCTTCTGTCTCGGGGCTGAAGTACCAACTTAGGTGGCTCTGGGTGATCTTGAAGACGTGCCTTCTGTCAGGTCTCTCCCCTGCCTCAGGAGGCCCCACCTCGAAGCCAATGAGGGGCAGGCTGCGCTGGGCTTTCACATCCTGAAGAGGAGGGACATAGTTGGGGTCACCTTCCCTTCCGTTCCAGCTTCTAATGATTTCGCATTTGCTCCCCTATTTTTCTTCCTTGCTTGAGAACATTCCTTGGCTTAATCAATAAGAAAATGTCTGGACTGGGGCTAGAATGCAGGCTGGTTCAAATACCATCTTCGCCCACATCCAGAACCAGGTGAGCCAGTCTCTTACTGCTTTCAGGCCTTTTCTCTAGGCTACTATTCCTGCCTGTCTGTTCTTCCCTACTCAGCATTAGACCTAGCGGGCCCTGCTTTCATTCCTGTTTTCTGCAAATGCCAGCTCCCCCAGCTCATCTGTTTTCCCCCCATGCTTAAGCGTACAATCAGTCCTTGTGTCTGTCTAGTCTTTGTCATACAGGGTAGTGGTTTTGATTTCCCCTGAGGTGGAGCCAGGCTTTCCCTGTCCCCCAGAGTCAAGGAAGGGTCAAGCACTGGAGGGAAGTGAGGCTTTCCCAGGTGGCTGAAAGGACCCAGAGGAGCAGAATACGTACCTGCGGGGCTCCGTAGATGTACAGCACCAAGGGTTCATTCTCGGGGACCACAAACCATGCCTTATGCCATCCTTTGCCACCCTTCTCCATATAGTGCAGGAAGCTGCAGATGATGCTGTTCTCTGCAGCCACAGAGGCCTGTTTCTGTGGCCAGAGATAGAGGGGAGGTCAGTACTGGGGGAGGGCTAGCCCAGCTCCTCCCGGCTTAACTAGTATCTGCGTATGGATAGCTACTTCCATGTTTCAGGTGAAGACGGTGAAACTGAGGTCGCAGGAATGATCTGCCCAAGATAACGGCAGAATCGAGATTCAAAGCTAGGCTTGTCTGCTTGACTTGGGCCATGGCTGCTGCCTCTACAAGCCAGGGGAAGGGGTGTGCAGGTTTCAGTGGGGGCATCCGAGTACCAGCCAGACACATTCAGTCAGCCTGTTTATTCGTCAGGTCACTCACCCCTCACCTGTTTTCATCTTTCGTCACACATCCATTGTCTGCACTAAGTGAAAGGCAATCTAGCATTTTGATTTAAAGGGGAGGGTGGGTGGTTAATGCAGAATCCCAGTTCTGGGTGAAAAGGTACAGACTTGGAAGGAGAGCATAGAGGGCTGCTGTGAGGATTAAATAAATTACTATATTCAAAGCATTTAGAATAGTTTTTGGCACAGAGGAAGCACTCTTTAAGTGTTAAATAAATCCTACATTTGTTTAAAATAAGTCTGAAAATGTGTGCATGCGCATGTTCCCGGAAAGAGGAAGGAAAAGTGTTATAGTGCTAACTTCTAGGCAAAAGGAATATAAAGCTTTATTGTTTTTTGTTTACCTGGTAATAAAAGGCAATCTGTTAATTTAAAAATAGCCTAGAGCCAGGCAGTGGAGTCCCAGCTACTGGGGAGGCTGCAGTGGGGGGATTGCTCAAGCCAGAGTTGAAGGCCAATCTGGGCAGCCTAGCAAGACCTGGTCTCAGAAACAAACTAGCTGAGCATAGTGGTAGATGCTTATAATCCTAGTCCTCTGAGAAGTTGAGGTAGGAGGATTTCAAGTTTGAGCCCAGCCTGGACAGCATAGTAAGACCCTATCTCAAAATAAAAAAGTTTTTAAAAAGTGCTGGGGACATAGCTCAATGCAGAGACCTAGGGTTCAATCTCCAGTACTAGTGGGGGGCATTTTTATTTTTTATTTATTATAAAGGGAAAAGAACAAAAACAAAATAACAAAAGCAAAACAACACAAAAACTATAAAAATGAGCCGGAGGCTGAGGCAGGAGGATGTGAGTTTGAGATCAGCCTGGGCTACAAAGTGAGCTGAAGGCACTGAACTGCATAGCGAAACCCTGTCTCAAAAAAGACAAAAAAAACTTATAAAAAAAGATACAGAATTTCAAAACAAGATGACAGGAAATCAACAATGGTTGTTGTATTAGTGTTATCTTCAAAGTAGTTGCTCAGATTACCAGATACAGGTATGCCAGATTGATCAAAGACAGAGTATCAATATGTAGTTCAAACAGGCCTTGAACTATGTAGCCCTAGGCTAGGCTTGAACTGGCAGTCTTCCTGCCTCAGCCTCCTTAGTGCTGGGATTTACAGGCATGTGCCACCATGCATGGCAAAATATTTTTTAAAAAAAAAAAACCTTAGCTTTGCCACTCATTGACTGGGTAACTTAGGCAAATAACCTCTCTGGGCATCATTTTCCTGCTTGATAAACTATGATAATAATAGCATGGGTACATTACTTACTGTGAGGATTACTACCTTTCATTCACTCTTATGTTCATTTTACTCCAAGTCTGGGTCAAAGCATCAGTGTACATGCACAGCACCCTACTATTTCAGAGATGCCCAGGCTTCCCCACTTACACTGGTAAGTGGCTGGAGCCTATGTGTGGGGTAGTCGGTTGGGGGTCTGGCTCTTACCTCTAGGATGGATCTCCGGCGCTGAGGTGTATGCTGGCTGCAGGCTGGACTGCTTCCGGGCACCCCGTGCAAGGCCACATAGCAGTCAGTGCACACACGGTTGGACCGGTTGTTGTCATAGATGAGGCGGGCCCGGAACTCGGAGCACTTCCCACAAACCACCTGGGGTGGCAAGTGCGCAAGAGCAGCCTGATTCTAGCAGGCCTTCCCCTTCAGGGTACCAACTCCCACAACAGACTTGCAGCCTCCTCCCCTTAGAGGTTGCCACTTAGACAGCCTTTGGGCTGTCAGCCTGTCCCCTCCTTGGCTGTGCCCCACCTCCCAACACTCACATGCCCACAGGCCTTGCAGTGGTGTCTGCGTTTGGTGATGGAATTGAAGGGCTCCTGGCAGCGCATGCACATGGTGACTTCCTTTTCTCGGATGGGTGTAGGCGCTCGCTTCCCAAGATCCACGTTCTGTGGGAAGAGGCACATCCCAGGTGAGAGATAGCTCCTCAGCCCAGGACAGGCTGCCCTGCCAATCTGCCTCAAGGCTTAGATTATCACTGGTGGTTGCGGGGCAGCAAACACATTCAGAAAACCTGCCTTTGACTCTGGCTATGCTCCTACCTTGATGTGTTAACAGTGTGGTTTTTAAAATACTATTAGTAGTAGTAGTACAGTACTGGGGGTTTCAGTCAGGGCCTTTGCGCTAAGCTGTTTTTGTTGTTGTTGTTGTTGTTAGAGACGGTCTCACTGTGAAGCCCAGGCTGGCCTCGAATTCACAGCAATCCTCCTACCTCAGCCTCCCAAGGGCTGTGATTAGATTCATGCACCATCATGCTCGGCTCCCAGCCATTTATTTGTTCGTTTATGAGACAGGGCTAAGTCACTGTGTTGCCCAGGCTGTACTTGAACTTGTGATCCTCCTGCCTCAGCCTCCTAGAATGCTGGGGTTATAGGCATGTACCACCATACTCAGCCTAACACTGTGGGGGTTTTGTTTGTTTTCAGTTTTTTGAGACTGGGTCTTGCTGTATAGTCCAGACTGGTTTTGAACTCAGTATGTAGCCCAGGCTGGCCTAGAACTCATGGAGATCCTCCCGGCTCGGCGCCTGGGGTGCTGGGATTACAGGGATTACAGGCATGTGCCACCACACACAGCAACACTGTTACTGAGGATAAGTCATTCTTGCTTTTTCAGCCTTGGTTTCCCCAATGATATTTCTGTAGCCCTACCAATAGAGGACTGCGCTTCTGAGGGATGCATTTTCTCTCTGATCTTTACACAGAGAGAGGATCATCTCTTGGAAAGGTGGGAACTTAGAGGCCTGGAAGGGGTCCCAGTGCAGAAGATGATGGGGACACTTACTGGAGAGTTGGGGGGGGTGTCTTCATCTTCTCGGTTTGTTGAGTTCAACAGTTTGAAGGTCTCTAGTGTCTGTTCATGTTTCAGGAGGGTGGAGTTGATGGCCTGGTTCAA